CGAGGCCGGGGCGGCCGGGAACACGCCGACTGGGACGCCGCCAAGCTGCTGCCGCCGCTGCCGCCCCGCGAGAAAGCGGCGCTCGTGGCCCGCTTCGTGACGAACGTCTGCGACTGGGGCGCTCTGGCCACCATCTCCACGCAGGAGGGGGTGCGCGGCCGGCCCTTCGCCGACGTCTTATCGCTTAGCGACGGGCCTCCGAGCAAGGGCAGCGGCGTGCCCTACTTCTACCTGAGTCCGCTGCAGCAGTCGGTGGGCAACCTGCAGGTGAGCGGGCGGGGCCGCGCGGAACCGCGCGCCGGAGCGCGAGCCTTTCCACTGTTGCCTGAATTCTGCCCGGGAAGGAGAGCTGGCCTCTTACAGATGAGAATTTGAGCCTCGCCCAAACCCCTGCCTCTTCTCTCCCGCGCTGACCAGGCAGGCATTGCAGCTTCCCAGTTGTTGGGCAATTAAATTCCAGGAATTGCACGCACGCCCTCGCCACCGCGCGACTCACTTGGGGTGAATTCTTCACCAGCACCTGGAGGACTTCTCACCCCCGAGTCGTCTTGGGGCACGGTGTCTCATTAACCGGGCTCCGATTATTAAAAGTTTTATAGGGTGTAGAGACGTTTGGGTAGTTTAGCACTTTGTCTAAGTGGCTTCAGGGATTTTCTTTCTTACCCCTCCTACTGAATTAAGAATTTTCCCTTCAGCAGCAAGAAGTGAATAGACATAGTGAATGATTATGGCAGTCTTTAGGCCTCGTGTGCACATCAGCTTCCCCCGTAGGGAGCACAGCTGATGGGAGTGTCCTCACCTTTGCCCATCTTTTGGGGCAGGACTAGGTTGACACCTCGCTGGTGAACCCCTGCTGTGCCAAGAGCTGTGTCACAGCTTGGGAGACTAGAGCCAGACTGAGTCCAGGAACAGAGCCTGATTTGGGAAAGGGTCTCTATGACAGAAGATCCCAGATCTGAGGTTAACTTTGTTAATAAAGATAAGATGAAAAACCTGATAATTTGATGAAGCACCTGCTGTGTGCCAGGCTGACCTCTTTCCACCCATCGTCTCTTTTAATAACCTTCAAGGTGAGTATTACCATCTTCATACTGCAGATGAAGAACTTGAGACTTAGGTTAGGTAATTTGCCCAAAGCCAGTAGCCACAATCGAATCTCACCGCAGGTCCATCTGCCTTCAAAACACAGGTCACAGACTTGTGGCCCATGAGCTGAATATGTCCCACAGACTGGTTTTCTTTGGCCCACGCAGAGCTCTGTTCTGTTTTTTAATACATTTGAGTTTGTTGCCAACATTCAAAAATTGAGATTGCAATTAAAAAGTATAAATTTCGGACTTCTTGAAAAATTGGACAGTCTGTAACCCTGGGGACCTGCATTCTCTGAGCAAAACCAGAAGCAGCTGCCTCCTTTATCCAAGGCAATACACCTCCATTCACTATTTTCTTATTCCCAGCCCGCTCCCCTCCCTTAGACGTTTGTTCACAGTGAGCTCATTCCACTCACTCCATCAGTGATGTTCAATCTTCATTGCAAATAGTCACCTGGAAAGATTTTCAAAAATACAATGCCAAGGTATTTTATTAAAAGTTACCCCCCAGATTCCTCCCTGCTGCTGCTGCTGCTTTTCCTTCCTTAGCAGATGCACTGGGATTGAACCCAGCACCTGGTGCACACCAAGCACACGTTCTACCACTGAGCTCTACCCGCCCCCTCCTCCCTGATGCTTCTAATGGTGGCGGGTTGGATTGTGCAGATTGTCGGAATGAGGAAACAAACTCAGAGGTGCAGGGACTTGTCAGCTAATGGCTGTCAGGTAGAATTTGAGCCCAGGTCTTTGACATCTCTAGAAAGAGACAGTGGTGAGGAACCCACCCAGGGTTTCAGGTCATGATGTGATGGCAGTGAAAAGGCATGGCCTACACATCGGACTGAGTCTGACTCTGAGTCCATCAGTTAATGCGACAAAGTTGTTAATTTCTGCTTTCTACTTTTCTTCCTCTTTCTGACCTCTGTCTTCTTCCTGTCTGCTCCTGTCCACTCCACCCACCAGATTTACATGAACAAAATACCACTCAGCATTGCCCTCTTCCCAGAAACCTTTAATAATGTCTATCTGCCTAGAGCTGAGTAAGATTCATCTGGGGTGTTTGTTAAAAATCCCAATACCTGAGCTGGGAGTGGAGCCCAGAAATCTGCATTTTAACAGGCTCTCCAGACAAGCAGTTCTTGGAAAGCATGGACAGGTGCCAGCCTGCAAAATACAGTCTTGACTTCTTAGCTTGGAGTTAAACCACCCTTACTACCCAAACTCCCCCTCAACCTTGTCTCCAACCCCCTCTCCTCAGAAAGCCTTTCTTTCAAGCAAATTGGGTTTCTCACCACTCACAGTCATGTCTTACACTTTCCCAATTCCGTGTTTTGCAATTACCATTCCCTTTGCCTTTAATGTGTCTTCCCACATCCATCCTGATTTTGAATATCATACAAAGCTCTTTAGAGTTTCCATATCACTCCAGGCTGTGCTGACATCTCCTTACACTGAACTTCAGATACACTTAACTGTATCATTCACTTGGCAATTAGTTATGTGCTGCCTTTTGACTGCTTCTGTGCCTTTGTTTTGCATCATTTAGGTTTTGTTTATGTCTGAATTTTCAACCAGATAATCAACTCACAGAGAAGGGAAACACCTTATCTGAGTCACCCCCCCCCCATTTTTGGTCTCCTATAATGCCTTGCCTAATGGTCTGTAGATAGCAAATATTTGGCTAAATGATTCCAAGAAGATCTCTTTATGACTCACTGTTTTGATGGGTCACTGTGAGATGGCAAAATTCTCCCCACGAGACACTTGGTGTTTAAAGCACTAAATACAACGTATGAATTTTGCTGTAATCTGTCAACAGTGCCATTTAGGAAGCTCATTTCTGAATAAGAAAGCATTAGAAATTTTGCTTGCCTCACGTTTTTTATCTAAGAATTCTCTTGTTGCCAGAGCAGAAATGAGCAACTTCTCCAGTTTTGAAATCACATGACAGTTTCTTCTATCTTAAGATAACCAAGAAGCATGATTCAGCTACTTTCTTGCTTAAACTGTACAATCAGCTTGTTGAGCCACAGTGATATTTTTATGCACAAGTTTCATGTTAGAGTCTAATCCTTTAGATCTTTCAGTTAAGACTATAGATTAGCCTTGTATTTGGGTGGTACTGTAATTATAATTCCTCTGGTGAATACGGGACAAATTAAGAGTTTAAGAGAAAAAAAGTTAAAATAATTCTTACCGAGTCAGTTAATTTTAAATATGAAACAGTGTCCCCCCCACGCACAAATTTTTTGGAGCAAGGATCAAGATCAGTCTCTATCCAAGTAGTAATTTTCCTGAGTGGAACGTGGTGTTTTTCAATTCATTGTTTCACGGAAGCACGGTCAAGTTCTGGGAACAGTGTGTATGCAACCTGTGAAATGTATTACCTCTCCAGAGACACTATTTCACAGGACAGGGTCTTCATTTTTCTCTCCACAGGAGAATCCATATGCTACGCTGACCATGTCTTTGGCAGAGACTAGCTTCTGCAAGAAATATGGATTTGATCCCCAAAGTCCCCTCTGTGCTCACATAATACTGTCGGGAACTGTTGTCAAGGTAAATCGTTATCTTACGAGAACAGACACTGGTTTTAGAAGGGCATCATCTTATTAACAATAAAGGAAGAGATATATTTTGAGAATAAAACAAAGTTGGTGATTGAGGTACACAGAATATGTTCTAATATGTAATTTCATGAAAGCTAAAGGTTTTAATCAGTTGCTTTCATGTAGGTGTTCAATAAGATGTTTATGGGGGAAATGAGCTATTTTTTGAAGCTGAACAGATGTAACAGCTATTAAGCTCCTGTATAAGGAACATCTGCTCAACCAAAGTTCATAGTCATGTTGTACACTACACAGTACTTCTCGTTCTGGGGTTCCTTATCTCCGGATTTTACCAGCGGCTGAGAGCACAGAGTGTACTAAGTGAGTTAACAGAGGAGTAACCATTATTAAATACTAGAAATGAATTTCGGCAGTTTGGGGTGAGTGCTAGAGGGAAGAGGTTCAGTAAAGCCATGGGAAGGGCGGAGGATGAGGGGTCCTGAACACTCATCTGACTGCCGAGCCAGAAGACCTTCCTTCCTCACCTTGTCAGTCATGAATCCCTCAGAGAAGATTTATTTGTGGTCTGGAAATTCCATGTAGGTGCATCTCTGGAGTTGAGTGTCCTTCACTGGAGGAGAAAGGGGGAGGGGCACAGGTGCTCTTGAGTTCCGCTGTGCCTCTTCCACAGACTTTTATCCTTTCTGTACGCCCATCTCCATGTTTAATGTGTACGAGTTTTGGGATAAATGTGCTAATGTTAGATGGCATAAGCACTGGTAACATTTTATTATAGTACTTTGCATCAATTACTCTGATAGCTCAAAATTACCATTTAGCAGTGAACACTGGCACTCGTGATGGCTTCCCACTTCATTATAGTATGTCATCACCAACATTTGAAATCTCCACTGTTCTCTGCATTTCTTCAAGCTCCCTTTACTTTCTCCTGATTCCTTAAGATCAGCAGTTGAGAAGATCTTAAAAGTTCTCAGCGCAAGAAAAAAAGAAAAGGAAAAAAAGAAGAGAAGAAAATTGTAACTGTGTGGTGATGAATGTTAACTAAACTTGTGATCATTTTGCAATATATGCACATATCAAATCATTATGTTGCACACCTAAAACTAATAGATTGTTGTATGTCAATTATATATCAATTTTTTAAAAAATTAAACTTAAAAAATCAGGACTTATCACTAGACTCTTTAGGATTTGTAGAATACTAGAATCACATACTCTTAACAGGCAAGAAAACAAAATGTGACTGCTATGAGGTTTATTTTATATATATCTTATAGGTGAGTGAGACAGAAGTGGACATTGCAAAGAATTCATTATTCATTCGACACCCTGAGATGAAAAGCTGGCCATCCAGCCATAATTGGTTCTTTGCTAAGTTGAATATAACCAATATCTGGGTCCTGGACTACTTTGGTGGACCGAAAATAGTGACGCCTGAAGAATATTATAACGTCACATTTCAGTAAGTATTTACACACCTTTCATCTTTGCAGTGTTGCAGCCCTTATCAGTGGTCCTCAACCTAATTCTAAAGCAAGGGGGGGAGTCTTAACCATTTTGTGTACCGTGGATTCCTTTGACAAGCTGGTAAGCCTGTGACCACCTGCCAAGAACAATATTTTTTAAATGCTTAAAACACATAAGATTACAAAAGAAACGAACTACATTGAAATACATGTGTAAAAGTATTTCAAATGTGTAATATAGTCATATGTTGGCTTTTTAGTGAACACGTTATGTAATAAGATCCAATAGTGAGTCCATAAATCTTCTGTACTTTCAGAGCAGTGAGGACTGAAACAATATTTTAAGACCTCTGCAACAACTCTACCATGTTGTGCAAGTGTCTGTGATTGCTGTGTTTCTGTTGGTGGCCGTCACTGATAGGCCATCACCACTGTGGTTTATTGCCTACATTCATTGTTGAAGAAAACGAAACATTTCAGAGCATCATGAATATGAAAACTTTTTTCCATCCCCGTTTCTCCCCCCCCAGACCCTCTGAACTCTATCTCCAAGCTAGGACACCAAGTGGAGACCCCATTTGAAGGCTGTGCTTATGGGATCCTGGATGGAGCCCAGTTCTGACCCATGATGGTGCATTTTCTCACGAGAGTCAGACCTGGGTGCTTCCGTGCCGGAGCATGTGACGCCCTCCCTTCCGCCCCCAGTCCTGTGGGCCCTGGTGGGATGGACGTGTGGTGTATCCCGCCAGCAGCTGACGCTTGGAGGGAAGGAACCATGGGAGAGAATGAGGAGAAAAACGTAACCTGAAGATGGGAAAGGGGTGCGATCAGATTCTTTACAATTAGGTCAGGGTTGACCTAAGGATGATGAAGGAGCACAAGGGACTGGTGCTTCTTCCAGGCGACACAGGTCACTCTGGCACGCCTGGCGCTTCTAGGCCTGGTGGTCGGTGACACGAAGAACAGTAGCGGCAGTGTTTGTGGAGCGTCACCGGCTTGTCACCGATGAGCTCGCTGCACTCTCGCGGCAGCCCTGTGCGTCAGGGGATGTTTTTCTTCATCTCTGGGGTGAAGAGCGGATGCACAGAAAAGTAAGAAACTTGCCTAACGTCCCACAGCCAGTCAGCGACGGCGCTGGGGTTCAGGCCCCGGCCCTCCAGCGCCAGAGCCCTCCCCTGGCTTCTAAACTGACGTCACGCTCCCCCTCTGGTCACCGCGCTGCAGCTGGCCAGGCTCCTAATCCAGTGTCATATGAACACCTTCTGCTTGTGGAGACTAGGGTGGTAATGCCACGCTAGCCCTGTGGCTGGGGTCTGGGCTTCTTACATTGTTTATTCTTTTGTTCATTCTTCGTCTGTTGCATCTGTGGTGCACTGTTGGTTTCCCACCACAGTTGTCAATCTCTTCACAGCAAAGCTCAGGTTTTAGTTTTGTTGTTGTTTTTCCCTCTGTTCCAAACAGGGGCCTGGGACAGTGCACAGCACAGGCGTTTAGCAAATACTGACTACTGGTCAGGCTGGTAGCTTTGAGACAAAGATTTTCAACTTCTTTGTTTGAATAAAGAGTCCAACCATCATGGCGTTTATTCCACTGCCGTGCACGCCAGGGCCAGTGACTGCCTTCTGGACCCAAAAAGCCATCTTCCTTTATAGGAAGACAGAGGTAGCAATTACAACACCATGGCCAGGCGACAAATTATCAAGCAGGAATAGTCAGTAAGATGACAGGCCCACTCTTCGAGGTTAAATGTCATTTATGCAGGACATAACAATCTCTGAAGTAGTTATCTTTGCACAGATAACATGTCCAAGGGCAATGCTTTCTTTAATAAAACAAATATGGGTTTTCCCGCAAGTCTCCACGCTGAATGAGTGAGTATAATAGATAAATTTGAGGTTCTCACTTTATCAATACCGATGAGTGGACCTTTACTGCAGCTCAGAGGTAAGAGAGAACACTCTCTCCTGTCCTTTCGAGAGGAGGACAAAAGACTAGCCCCGCATGTGACAACCTCCCCCCTCCCCCCACCGGAGGCAGAACACCGGAATCCTAGGAATGGGCAGTGCCTTGAAGCTGACTTTCCCAGACAGGTGCCTCTGACTGTTGTTCATTTCAGAGCCCACGAATGGGTCCCCCACCATCCCACCCACCCAGTTTGCCACCAGAACTGTTTAACAGCCCGAGAGAATGTACAGTAGTATTTGTAGGGCCTTGGGAAGCCACTCCCAGGGGCTCGCAGGCATTCTAGGGCCTCCCCAAGTGGCAGCCACCTTGCCCCGTTTGCCCTGATGGGTTTCAGAAGGTGTTATTTCTCTAAATACCATAAAGCCATCTGCATTTCAAACCTGTTTTCACTCCCATGGGGTCTTTTGAGAGAGCTTCAGCACCAGGCCCATTTGGTAGGGCTCATACGGGGCCTAACTGGACTGTTGGGGCAAGACCCACAAGCATATTTTCATATTGAATGGAAGGTTGAAATGTTTACCCGAAGTGTTTGCGGACATGCTTGAGTAAGTAAGCAGCTCTCTTAAGTATGAGCAGTTGCCTTTTCTCACTGTTAAGTCTGAGCAGCAGGCCTCCCACGTGTTCCCTGGCAAAGACAGATGTAATTTGCCTTTACCTGGACATGGATTTCCTGATGGCCGTGGTCAGGGCTGCAACAGGGGAGTGGATCAAGGTCACCTCCCTGGCTGGGCACTGGCTGATTACTGCTCTTTTGCTCTAGTGTTCGGGACGCCTTCAGTGTCTTTGTCTTTAAAACCTTCAGATATTCTAGAATGAGATGATCACAGCAGCCACGGCTGCTAGTTCATGTTTTGTCCTGGTAGCGTTTGCTAAAGTGTGTCAGCCGGGATGCTGGCTAGGATGAAGATTCCTTGGCCTGAGCCTAAACCAGAACTCAGGGATCTGCATTTTAGCAAACTCAGGCGATTCTTAAGCACATGAAAGACGTCAATTTTTTTTTTTAAGAAATAGATCCCCAAATGGGTTTGTTTGATTGATTGATTTTAACACCTTTATTGTGATGTGATTTCTGTACAGCAAACTACATATATTTCATATGTACAATTTGATGAATTTTGATAGATGTATACACCAGTGAAATCACCAAGAATGTGGCTGAAATTAACTCGAGATCTTGAACTTTTACATCAGAGGTTTCTCTAGTCCTTCCCTAGAATGAAATAACTTTTTACCATCTGTCAACTCATTTAATGAAAGAATTTTTCCTCCTCTGTCTTCCCCTCTCTAGGTGAAGCAGCATATGGTGAATTTAACCACACATGCGAAGAGTCTTAGGAAATTTCATACAGACTTGGGGCGCTTAATGTTTCTCTATGGAAAGTTTCCCAGAAGATTAACTAGTTTTCTGTCACATACTGGTTTGTTTGTTTGCCTGCTTGCTTGTTTACAGAATTGAGTGGGATTGTTACTGGATTTCTTGGAAGATGAGATTGCTAGATATATATATATATATTTTCATATTTTGAAGCCATTTTCATAGAGACATCTTTTGTTATGATCAAAGGTTTTGTTCCATCACTCCCAAATGGTTTTCCAACGGTGATCCTTGTAAAGGGGCAGGTACCAGATTTAGATTGACCATTGGTGTTTGAAAGTACTCAAGTATATGTTCTCAATTCCTGGAAACCCCTGTGCTGGGGAGAGGTCGTCCCTCCCCCACGGCTGCTGCCTGAACCTGTACTAAGGGGTTGGCACATGTTATATACAGTGCACCTGAATAAATCTTGCCAAGACAAACAATGATGAAACACAAATGGAACGTCCCACCCGTGGTCCATTTCTGTCTGACAGTCCTTGAGCCAATGTAGGGCAAAACTATTTCTTATAAAGAACTTTTAAAAAAGCTTTTCAAATCTAAGCGAACACTGTATAATCAGTTTCCTCCACTCAAAATATGTACACATAAGCACACATTTTTTTTTTTGCCCCAAAATGGGATTGCAAAAGAAAGGAGGGAATTTTGTGTGTAAGTTGTTTCGGGTGTTCCTTTATAAGTAAAGTTAACCTGGACACGGACCAGCTTAAACCAGGGCCAAAGTCCATCTCCCAACCACTCTCTGTAGCTTTTTTTTTTCATTAATGCTACTTTGAACACTGATCTAAGACTTCCTCAACTGCTTTAAATGGCTTCTAATGCTGTTACTACCTAAATCTGGTCATCAGAGGGACAATAACATGACTTTAAAAGAAAATTACTTTTCTTCAGAAGAGAAGAAATTGTTTACTTTTATCACCTGTATATGCGATTTCAGATGACGATGTGAGATCCCTCATAAAGAGGTGTGTCAGGAATCAAGCAACTGAATCCTTAAATGGCTAAGAGAGAGGAACTTGAATACGAGTTTCAAAACAGCTTCTCTTTAGGAAAAATATGTCTTAAACTTGGTAGAATAAATTTCTTATCCAAAGCACTAATAATTAAAAGCATTATTTTAATGAAATGTGTTGGATTTATTTTCTTAAACATAGATGTTAACATTTATTACGTTTCGTTTCATTGTCCACAGTCAAAACTCTCCTGTGTTTTCATTTTAGTGGGCTATTAAATGAACTTCTGGCTGCTTCAGAGCTTACGGTGAATAATCTGAGTCTTTCCCACTGGTAGACATCTCCTTGTGCCTTAGAATTTGGGGGATGGCCAGAATGCAGTCTTTGTCCCGGGTCTTCTTCCCTCAGGGTCTTGGGTGCCAAGGTACCTTGTGATAGAATTAGGTTGAGAGTATCTATCTGTATTACTCCCTTCATACACTTATTGTGAGTTTTGTCTTCATCATTTGATACCATATAAAAACATCCGTGTTCAGATAAGATCCGATTATCACAAAGAAGCACTAACAGCTTGTTCTCAGCAGGTGCTTCAGATTCCTTGGCAGTTGAAATGTGCCGATTGTGCCCCTGTTATGTTGTAACTGACCACCAGAGGGCGCTGTAGACCACTTTTTGTGCAGGTGCCAGTTTCTTGCACAGCAGTCCGCCCCCTCATCTGCAGGGATATGTTCCAAGACCACCCCCCCGACACACCCCCCAGTGGATGCCTGAAACCTGATAATACCAAACCTATATATTATATACTATGTTTTTTCCTATACATGCATACAGTAAAGTTTAATTTATAAATTAGGCACAGTAAGAAATAACCTGAATTGCCAGCACCACTACTCTTGTGTTTTGGGGCCATTATTATGTAAAATAAGGGTTACCTGAACCCTAGCACTGTGACACCAAGACCGTCGATCTGATAGCCCCGCCGACTGCTAGGTGACAGGTAGTGTATACAGCGTGGCTATGCAGAACAAAGGGAGGACTCATGGTATAAGACCTCATCATGCTGCTCAGAACAGCACACACAGTTTAAAACTTATGAATTGTTTATTTCTGGAAATTTCCGTTTAGTATATGAGGACTGGGGTCGACTGCTGGTAACTGAATCAGCAGAAAGCAAAACCGAGGCTAAGAGTGGACCACTGCACAACAGATCTGATCAAGCCCCCGAGAACGACGCCGGGGGCTGGGGTGGGGGTGGATGGCCTCGATGCGATGACACCGGGGTGAAGGCGGCCCAGTAGGGCGAGAGGAGAAGCTGAGGCCTGGTCTTCTGCCACTGCCAATTGGAGTTCATGGATGTATCCCGCCCTCCCTCCTTGTCGTGTGCTTCATGACGGGCTGCAGAATCGGGACAGAGCCCTGACCTTAACCAGAGGAGGGACGAGTGTCTTGGATGGGGACTGGCTTTGGCCCAAAAAGCAAGGCAGGCCCTAATCAAGAAAAGAGAAAATCAGAATTAGAAAGAGGAGCCCCAAACTGCTGAGCCCAGGCGGCTGTGCTTGGCAGATGTCTTGGCCTTGGATCTGTGCTCAGCTGGTCAAGGCCCCGTGGCCAGTAGTCACGGTTCATTCTGTCTTCTAGTCCGGGTACAGATTCCTTGCAAGTATGTAGTGAGGTGGAGAAAAATCCTTTAAGACACCAGGCAGGGCTCAATGAAATCGGTGCATAAACAGTCTCGTTTTTGTTTTCTTTTTACTGAAATATAGTTGGTTTACAATGTTGTGTCAATTTCTGGTGTACAGCATAATGTTTCAGTCATACATGCACATACATATATTCATTTTCATATTCTTTTTCATTATAGGTTACTACAAGGTATTGAATAGAGTTCCCTGAGCTGTACGGAAGAAACGTCACTGTATGAATATTCGACTGGAGGTTGTTCAGATCATGTTTCTCTTCTTAGTAATATTCAGACTGTAGACCACAAAGTCATTGAGGAACCTCTACTTTCCTGTAGTGGGGGCATGTTTTCAGTTTTAGTACTGAAAAAAACGCTCTGCTTTGTATAAAGCTGGTAGGTCAATATTTTTAGGGAAATTCCAAACTGTCAACTTCAAAAAACCAGGTGCTCTATGTATTTTCATCTGAGGAGACAATGACAACTTAGGTCCTCTTTAGAATTGAGACAGGTGTAAATCAGCCAGTAAAACTGTATCTTTTTCTTCATTTTTTCCCCCTTACTATTAATTGTAAGATAGATATCTTTGTGTGATAAATACACAAGGTAAAAGTTTGCAAATTCACAATCTCACCAGCTGGCATGGCTGCTAATATTTTGATGTGTTTGCTTCTAATCTTTGCTTCCATGAAATGTTTAAATATAATCAAGGTCATGCTGCACATTGATTGTGTGTCATGCCTCTTTCACTTAATCATAATCTTGTTATGTTGCTAGAAACCATAAGGATGGCTTAGAATGGCTGCAAATACTTCATCAGATCTACTTTGGCTACCAAATAATGGTCTGTATCAGCACTCTCTTGCTAGTGACAGAAACCCTAGTCAAAGTAGTTTAAGTGAAAAGAGGAGTTCATTGACCTGAAAATATTCCTTCAGGACTCCGTCTTGATCTCCTGGCTCCTCTGTGTTGGTTTTAATGGCAATCAGCAATCTTAGAGCAACGAGGGCAAGGAGGACCATTCCAGAATAATCCCTGTGTCTGGGAATCGGGTTCCGTCATTAGCCGATCCTCCATCCTGTGTCTTTCCCTGCAACTGGGGCTTCAGCTCAGCCCCCATCAGAATCACAGGGACCAGGAGAATTTTGAAGTAAAGCTCCTGAAAGGAAAAAAGTCTTGTTAACTGAAAGGAGACCGGACAGGCCAAAGCGAAGGGCTGTTACCATTTTCTCCAGTGTCTGAACATTTAAGTTACTTCTGTTTTTTTTTCCCTGTTAAGAGAGAACTCTTTATGCATGAAGGATTTTCTGCATCTCTGTTTGTTTCCTTAGAGAGTTCCCAGCAGTGGAATTCCCAAGCCAAAAGCTGGTGGTACCTGTTACCCATTGCTCTTAAGAATTTATACCAATGAACAGTCCTGCCAGCAGTGTCTGAAAATGTTTATTCTGCACTGAATTTCCAGGTAAAAATCGTATTGTGTTCTTTTAATTGGCAATTCTTAGGTAGTGGTCACGTTGGACATTAATAATCTCAGTAGAGGGAAAAGAAATAGCTCAGTGGTAGAGCACATGCTTAGCATACATAAGGTCCTGGGTTCAGTACCTCCATTAAAAATAAATTAATTAATTTTTTAAAATCTCAATAAGCACTAGTTGCATTGCTTTTCTTTGTTTCAAATATCAGTTGGTAACTACAGGTTGAGTTTTCTCAAAAAGGAAATTATGATTGTCATAGGATTTAATTGTAGAAAACAGCTTCACATCCAGCATTTTATCTAATCCTTGCAGCAAACCCAAGTAGCAGGTGGCACACACGTTATTTTCCTTACTTCAGGGAGAGGCTGGAGTCCCCGGATGGTTAGCTTGGGTGAGTTCATACAGTTGCCTGGCAGACCTGGTCCTTAAGTCTAGCTCTGTCCCCAAGAATCCATGACCCCTCAGCTACTGGCGACATTATGGGTCTTTGCCATTTGTATTAAAGGTGTGTAGTAAAAAAAAAAAAAAAAAAAGACAAGGGCCGTGTGTGAGAAAACCCCAGGCTTTCATGGGTAGTGCACTGACGTCTTTGAGGCAGGCAGTGGGGGTATAGGAGAGAGTGTGCGCTCCGAAGCCAGGTGGCTGCTTTCAAATCCCAGCTCAACCACTTAGCCAGGTGGCCTTAGGCAAAAGCTCTGCAAAAGGGTCCCCTCTTAGGTAAGTCAGGGATGATGCCTAGGATGGGGGAGGAGTTAGTTAGTTAGCATTAGTCTCCATCACCGTGTGGGACAGCCCGAGGCCACCCACGACAGGGATGCTCTGTAAAGGACCAAAGGACCAGGCATTTTCTCAGTAATAACACTGCAGGAAGGTCATCCCTGTCGTGTGTCAGTCACTGGTCTCCCCTGGGCCTTGGGGGACACACACCCCTGTCGTGTGCTGGCATGTATCATGTGGGAGCAGAGCAGGAGTGGGAAGCTATGGGGCCTCGTGGTGAAACGTGGTCAGAGGTCAGGCCCCACGCGCCAGCTGCGGAAAGAGCCCGGAAAACGTAGTTTGACACGACAGCTGCCTTGAACTGCCCGGGGAGGGTCTGCCCAGAGGAGGAAAATCCTCTTTAATCCTCCCATCTAGGGCCAGGCCAGCTGCATCACTGGAATTCAGGGCCCCCTTGGTCTTTTTTTGGGAGGGGGTAATTAGGTTTATTTGTTTGTTTGTATTTTAATGGAAGTACTGGGGATGGAACTCAGGACCTCGTGCACGCCAAGCATGTGCTCTACCACTGAGCTATACCTTCCTCTCCCTGCCCCCTATCCCACACCCTACCTCCCCTCGCCTGTCTTATAACTACCTTTCCTTCCCCTTAAGCTGGTGGCCATCCTAAGGGACTTTAAAGGTCTAATGCCAGGACCTACTTGTCCCTTGCCAGCAGTCCCCAGAGGTGGGCCCCTTTCAGGCTTGTTTCTGGGACAAGAGGACACAGGCCTGTTTGGGGTGGGAGTCCTCAAGGGCCAGGCTGGCTTCAGAGAGGACCTTGAGCCAGCCAGCTGACTCCGCTCCACACAAACTCAGTTGGTCCTTCCTCTTTGCAAATGACATAAATGTGATCTGCATGAAGTCAAAGCATCTCCAGCACAATCAGCGGGGGCCAAGCCCTGAAAAACAACAGCCAGGCCCCCATATAGAAGCCTGGTCACTGGGCCTGCTCCCTTGGTCTGTGTGGCGGACCATCAAGGAGCTGCAGGATCGCAGCTCTCAAGATGTGCTCAGGGCAGCACGTATGACCCTGTGCCCCACCCTGGAGGGTGACAGCAGCTGGCAGGGCTGAAAAGGAAGAGGGCGCTGGAGAGGCAGGAATAATTAAACCGATATATAATTTCTGGATAGAAGATAGCTTGGGGGCCTTCTGGGTCAGCCCTTTCATCTCTCTTTCTTTTCTTCTTTTTTCTTAAATTGAATTATAATTGATTTACAATGTTGTGTTAGTTTGAGGTGTACAGCAAAATAATTCAGTTAGATA